CCGACCCAGATCCCAGCAGCCTGTTTTAACTCCCTGCATCCATTAGCGTGGAGCAGGGGGAAGGGAAAGAAACAGAGGGGGGGGGAGGGAAGGAAGGGGGGAGGGAGGACTGTCCCAGAGCCCCAGGCTGGGCTGCTCCAGGCAGGCGCCCCCTCGGGGGATTTTCACGCCCCCTGGACGAGCACCTCAGCGGGCTCAGGCACTGGCCAGCCCCTGCGGGGGTCTCCTCTTCCTTCAGCCTCCTGTGGTACTGTCCACCCTGAGTCAGCCTGGCTAGGCTGGCTGCCTGGAGTTGGTCCTGCTCCTGGGGACGGTGGCTCCAGCCCAGCTCCGTGGGGCTCATGGGTGGCTGCAGGCCAGGCATGTGGGAAGCTGGCATGGTCACAGGCTGTCAGGTGGTGGCTGCCACCAACCAGCTGCGCTGTCCCGCAGATGGCTTCTGGTGGGGAAAGAGGCTCCATCCCCAGCCGCTGAGCAGCGTGTACCCAGCTGTCCTGGGGAGCCCAGCAAGGCAGCCCCCACAGCCCCCGCTCACTGCAGAGGGTCCCAGCGGGCCAGGGCAGAGGCACAGGCGGGACAGCGAGCCAGCCAGGCAGCAGCCGCTTCCCCTTGGAGCCCAGGGCATGTGGCTGTTGTACTCCTGCTCCAAACGGCTCCATACCCTGGTACATGGGCCTCTGCGGAGCGGCCTGGCCGGCCGGCGCTTGCTTCCCACCCTGCCAGGAAAGCGCACACAGCACGTGGCTGGTGTCCCTGGCCCAGGCAGGAGGGAAGGGGTCTGCCGGTCACACGGGGACCCCAGCATGCGGAGCCGGAACCCAAGGCTAAACCAGGTCAAGCGGGTGTGGAGGTGGCGCCGCTCCCTGGCTGCAAGACCGGCTGGCTCTGAGCAAGGCCTCGCCTCTGCCCAGCATGGCAGTGTCTTCGCACAGTCTCCCAAGGCTCTGCCAGGCTCCTGAAGGGTGGGGAGCACCAGGACCTCCCAGGAAGCAGGGAGCGAGAGATATCCCTCCGCTTCAGCCTGTGTTGCTGAATGTGTCCACACGAGGAGCCCCCTGCCCCAGCCCTCCTCACACAGGGAGGGAGCTGCAAGCACCAGCCTGTCCTCTGGCCAGGCTCTAGCTCGGGGGGCTGCAGGTCAGTGTGGCTTGTGCAAGGGACTCGCTGTGGCTGGCTTCTCATGTGACAGATCGGCCATGCCAGGCTCTGTGCAGCGTCCTCAGCCTCCCTGGGGGGCACTCGCTGCCCTGCACACAGCAGGTGGGAATCCTGACCTGTGGGAGCAGGAGCCGGGGCCAGCGGCCGCTCCCTTCCACACCCTTTGCTGCCATGCCATCCTCAGCAATAGCGAGGCCAGTGGCCCTTTGGCCTGGCCAAGGTCACCCAGTAGCAGGGACAAAGCGACCCTGCAAATCCTGACGCTGGAACTCACCCCAGGGTCTCTCTCCAGGAATTGGTGCACGGCGCTCAAGGCCAGCAGATGGGTGTGGGGACAGCCCTGCACCCCCTGTGCAGTGCTGGGAGCCTCAGCTCTGGGGCCCAGGAGCACCCAATGCACAACCAGGCCCCCGTGGCTTGGGCCCTGCATCTCCCGAACACTGGACACCAGCACTTGGGGAGGCCGGCAGCCTGGGAGCTACGGTGGCCTGGTGGGCCTGTGCATCTGGGCGGAGTTCCTGGACTCAGCTCCCACGCATCCCTGTGTGAAGGCGGCCCAATCCCCTGGCACCCCAAAGCCTCTCTCCGGACTCAGCCTTCCTCCCAGGGTCTAAGTACCAGGGGGCACGGGCTGCTCCTGAAGGCATCGCCCAGACGTGTCGGGCAGCAGGACACAGGAGGACAGGTCCTCCCCGTGAAGGGGCCAGCTAAGGGGTGGCCTGCGGGGCTCTTGGGCCCAAGCATGGTGGGTCATGGGGTCTGCTCTTTCTGCTGGGGATCCCTCATCACAGGCCTCCTGGCTGCTCCCACAGGGGCACCCTGCACCATGCGTCCCCTGAGGACAGCAGGGGCCAGGCAGGAGACGGGGCTCCCGGGGCCGTGTCCCCTTGCACTCATGCCTGTCCAAGAGGGCCTGAGCCATCCCAGCAGGGGAGCAGCACTTCTCGGGGTTGCAGGGCTGCACACCCCCACAGGGCCGTCTCTGGGGACCCCGGGACCTGCTCAGAGCCAGGAGCCCACGGTGCCTGCAGTGAGCTGATTCTCCTCACTGAGTGACTCGGAGCCTGCCCTCACCAGGGACAGAAGAGGGCCCCACCAGGACAAGCCTACAGACAGAGTGTAATGTGTGTGAGCTCCTGTGTAAAACTGTGGAGACGATTTTAAACGGAAATGCATAGGGCTTCTTTCAGGAAGTCAACAGAACTGTCATAGCTCAGACCGAGGCGCACAGGGAGGAGGTGGCCGGGAGCTCAGTCTGGGCCCGAGTAGCCAGGTGTGGAGCTGCGGTGTGCTGGCCTGCTGTCGGGCTCGGGACTGCTCCAGCCGAAAGCCTCACCTGTGAGGCGGGGCCCAGGAGGCTAGCGTTGGACAGGCCTGGAGTGGGCTCTGCTCCAGGTCCCCTCGGGAAGCGGGCTAAGCCCACGTTGCCCAACACCAATAGGCCACCACGGAGCGAAGTGGCCTTTCTGAGGCATCTGCTTCCTGCACGGGGAGGTCAGCGACCTCGGGAGGCCTGGTTCCAAGGACGATGGCTCACGGCACCTGCCTCTTCTTCTTGGGGGGCCGGGGCGGGCGCAGCTCCTGGGGCCCATGGGCAAACGGGCAGCTGGTGGAAGGCAGCACGCAGCCGTCGGGGTGGTGCGTGAAGAACCAGCAGATGCGGGTCTTGAAGGCCTCCGAACTCGGTCCCCGCTTGGCCTCTGGGTGCTTCTCCCTCTGCAGCTCCCGCCGCCAGTCGCGAATGTGGACTCGGCCGTCCAGAACTGAGGTGTGGACAAAGCAGACAGGGCCAGGACGTTACCCCAGATACCCGTTAACTCTCGGGGCTTCGTCACACGCCCACCGCGTGGAAGACTGACACCAGCCAGGGCCAGGGGATCCGTAGAAGGGGCCAGCAAGGCCGGATGATCAGGGACCCGGAGCAGATGAGGACAGAGCCCCGTGAAAGCCCAGGGGACCCCTGTGGAGCTGGCCAGCAGGACGGAGGGCTGGGGACTAGGGTGGTCACACGTGGCCCTAACGCCTCCAGGTGGCCGGCAGACTGGGACCAGTGTGTCGCAGGCTCTGTCCCTGGCCAGGGAACCCAGCGTGAGACCCACACAGGACACCTGTGCTGGGCACCGGCCTCCACGTGTCAGCATCAAAGGCGAACAGGGAGGTGGAGGCCGGGCCCCCGGTGGCATGAAGTAAGCCGGGCCCACGCGTCTCCGCCACTCCAGCCCTCCAGACGCCCACGGCGTGGGGACACAGCCCTGGGAGCCGGAGGACGGAAGGGCCTCACTGCACAGACACCAGCCTGGAGGCTGGTGGGGCGGTGGCACAGGGACCATGCGGGCAGGGCGGGCCCGATGCTGGGCTGAGGAGCAGGGGCCGTGTCAGGCTGAGGCCCCCGGGCGGCCCTGGCCTTTCTCATGCCGTGGAGCCAACATTGCCACGGGAAAGGAATCCAAGGCAAGCGAGCCCACCGGGCTTCCCCGAGGCTGTCTCCCGACCCCAGAGGCAGGCGTGGGATGAGGGCCTCACTGTGTCAGTTCCTGGCGGCCACCGTGCCCCTGAGAGCAGCCAGCAGAGCTGCAGGTCGGCACCATCTTTCCCCTCAAAACAGAAAAAGGAGCCAGAGAGAGGCGCCTCCCATCCCGACCTGAGGGACAGCGGGGAGGATCCGTCTGCAGGGACCTGAGCCCTCTGTGGCACCTTGCTGCAAACCAGAGCCCGTCTTCCCCACCCTGACCCAGGCAGGCAGCCTCGGCTCACTTGGCCGGACGCGCTTGCTGCGGGACCAGGGCTGGAGTGGTTATCTGGGCCCAGAACCCACTGTGCATTCCAGGGGAGCCTCGGGGGCAAGCACACCCACCAGGGCCCTCAGGCAGGGCCAGCCTGGGGCCTCCATGCAGACTTGGGAGCCAGACCCCCAAGCCGAGCCCCTGCCCTGGGAAACTGGGGAACACAGCCCGGGGGACCCGAAAAACAGGATGGGGGCCCCGGAGAGGGCAGCAGCAGGTGCCGGGGCAGCATTGGCAATGCTGCCGCCTACGCCCCAGGATACAGGGCAGCTCTGCAGCCCCTCCTAACACCCAACACCCTGGGCAGAAGGTGCCAGAGGAGCGGGCCTCGGAAACACAGCGGCCAGCTCCTAGCCCCTAGCCGGACCACCAACGGGCCCTGCTCCTGTGCCAACGTGCTCCTAATTTGACAATGGGGTCGCAGGAACAGTCCGAGCCACTCCAGCTCACTTAGCTCCTCACACTGAAACTCGGTGCACATCGAGCGGCCCATCTCCCCGACCTTAGACGCCGGCGCCCCCCAACACCCAGCTCAGGCCCAGGGCAGACATGGCTGGGCTGTCACTGCCTCTCCACCGAGGCCCGGGCCCGGCCCACACTTGGCCACTCCAGCCGAGCGTGGATGAGGCCCGCCACTGAGCAGGGCCCGAGCAGGCCCTGGCCTCTCAGCCTCGCACCCGGGACTTCTCACGATTGCGGACTCTGCGGACTCGGCAGGCACAGAGGCGTGCAGCACCGGCTGACCCCAGTCGCTGGAAGCCCTCTTCCTTCCTCACCCCACCCTCGCTCGTTCCCTGAGAACAGCCACATTAGTTGTTAGTTTAGAAAACAAAACTGAAGAACCTCAGCCAGAGATAAGACCCAGCTTCCAGCATACTTTCTGCATGACTGGAAGGAGAATGTTTACTTGGACTCGGCCCCCACCCGCCTACTCAGAAGTGGCTCCCAAACCACCCCTGCCCCAGCGCACTGCAGAGAGGCATTGCACACATGCATATTGACTGTGGGGGAAGGCGCTCTTGCGAATTCAAAGACAAAAATGTGCTGGGAAAACAGAAAGAAGTGGACTCCCTCGGGCTGCAGCAAGTGCTTTAATGGATTAAAGCCCCGTGGAGGAAGAGTGGATTCCAGGCACAGATGCCCAGCTCAGCAACTCCGGCCGGCCTTGCCCGCCCATGCCCACACAGACGCCCTGCCCCTGCAGCACTCCTGAGAAGCTGGGACACGGGCGTACACCCTTGCTCCTGTGCACACACTCGCTCTCACACACAGGGCGCGTGTGCACATGCGGGGAGGGCAGGGAAGAGGCGCGGCAAGCACTCTAATCCCCAGGCCTAGGGTCTGTGGGCTGAGGTGCAGAGCTGCACTTCTGTCACCCATGTGTCCCCAGCTGACTCCCCCGGGGCAGCCTGACCACCCGCCTAGTGCAATGCAGAGGCAGCAGGGACCCTGCAGCCTGCTAAGGAGCAGTGCCACACAGCAAGCACAGACAGCAGGTCCCAGGGCGGCCACCCCCTCCCTCACCGGGGCTCCGCCCCTCGCACCGGCCAAGGCCTCATCCTCCTGGATGGCAGCAGCACCACCAGCCCCTAGGCAGGGAAGGCCTTGCAGGAGCCCTAGCTCCTGTTCTGCAGCCCCAGCCCAAGGGTCACTGCTCAAGTAAAGGCTTCCTGAGGCCGCACCTCCCTGCATGTGGGGACTGGGGCCCAGGGCAAAGTGGAGGCACGAGAAGACATCACTGTCTCTGCAGATGCCCTGGAAGGACACTGGTGCGGTCAGTGGGTTTGTGTTAATACTCCTACAAGCAAAAGGGAGAGCAGCTCCAGGAGGTGAGCGCAGCACACTGGAGGGCACAGGGGAGGAGATGCAGACCTAAAATTCCTTCCATCTCGGTGCCACCCGAAAGCTCACAAGATCGCAAGCACTGTGGACCTCTGTCACTTTTCGGACCTGGGTATATACACTGTGACTACCCAGGCCACGGTCCTTCCGCCCACATGCAGATCTGGAACCCGGGGCACTGGTGCAGGCGAGCCCAGCCCCGCCTCACGGCACAGATTCACCAGCCTTAGACTGAGGGTTGGGTTGGCACCCCAGCTCCACACCGACGCGGCTCTGGCAGCATCACCTGCAGCTGACCAAAGGCAAAGCTGTGCGCCCCACCCCAGCCAAGTTCTCAGGTGACAGGGGACGCTGCCACCAGGCCTTCCGACCTGCTCGTGTGAGGAGAAGGCGAAGTGGATGGACTCCGGCATCCTGGACGGGAGCAGGCATGGGCCGGGTGTGGGCTGGGCCAGGGGCTGAGAGTCCAAGACGGCAGAGTGGCCACGGCCCCGCCCCGAGGGACAAGGCTGGGACGGCCAGGGTGGGCACAGGGGACTGCGTCCACTTCCAGCTTCGGAAGGCCTCAGCTCCCCGGAAATAAGCCACTCCAGTGAGTAGAGGGGAAGGGAGGAGAGTGGGGCCAGAGCGCTCGCAGGGGCCCCGCCGCGGCCTCCCTCACCTTCGAACACCTGGCGGCTGTTGCGCAGCAGCGTCTGCAGGCCTCCGCACTCGTGCTTCAGCCTCCGCAGGGTCGCCCTGTCCAGCTGCCAGGCCACTTCTGCCAAGGACAGGCTCTCTGTTGGAAGCGTTACACACCTGTGACCAGGCAGCTCTGCCAAGCCCCACAAAGCCCAGCCCGCCTTCAAGTCCTGCAGCGCCAATCCCTCGCGTGCTTAGCAGGCGGCCTCAGTGTCTCTAACGAAGGGACAGCTTGGCTGCCCACACAGCTCACACAGGGGTGACTACGGCATCGCCCGAGCTAGGCACAGTGCGGTTCTCCCTGCGGTGCAGACTGGACATCTCCCACAAGGGGATGGCGACTGCTCCAGCAGCCAGAGCAGCAGGCTCGGGGCCAGGGCATGAGGTGTGACAGGAGAGCACCTGCCCAGGGATGGGCTCCACCTCCAGAGACTTCGGCTTTGGGAACCTGCGTTCCTGCAAGCTCCCTAATCGGAAAGCCTGGCGGCAGTGAGGTCAGTTTATTACCCAATCTCCAACTGAACACGAGACCAGGGTGGTCTCCCTGGGTATACTTGGTAAGAGCCTCCTGCTGGCAGGCAGAGGATCTCACACCTCACCTGCGCCCTCCCACCTGGACGCAGGTAAGTGTGGACCAGAACCCAGCAGCCTCACTTGTGCTCACCTGTCCTGAGGCAGGGACCCTTCTTGCTGTCTCTCAGCAGTGTCCTGCACAGGGAGACGCCCAGGCCCAAGATGCCAAGGGCTCCGAGATGCACAGGTCCTGTGCCCGAGGGCAGGCAGGTGGGGTGGTGAGGACAGGATGTCCAATGACCACAGGCCCTAAGGCTACTGCATCCCTGAGGAGCAGGCTCTCCCAGCCAGAGGCAGCTGGAGACCTGCAGGCCTGCCCAGGGACAGGCAGGACCGGATGGGGCCATCTCTCAGAGCCACCTCTCCTGGAATCTGCTCATGGAAGGACTTCCTGTCCCCAGCACAGGCCAGCATCTCCCCACCCACATCACTGCCGTGGACAGGAAGTCAAAGTGCACAGAGCTCCTCTCCTGCAACCAAATTACAGACCTACAATGGCCCAGTGCCCAGCCCAGATTCCGGGGAACCAGGTGGCCAGTCTGCAGTCACACCGGCTACCTTCACACTGAGCTAGGGCCACTCTGGAGGGAGAATGCACAGCAGCTCTGTCCTCATGTGTGCCTGAGGTGAGCAGGGGGAGGAGGGAGGAAACTGGACCCTGCAGTCACAGACGAGGACAATGAGCCGGGGGAGAAGGGACTACTGCCCTACCCCGAGTTGCCTATGCTGTGCTGAGAAGGGGCAGAGAGACGGACGGGCTCCTTGCTGTCCTTCCTGTCCCCAAACTGCAGGAGCAGGTCTGTGAGGTGCCACTCCGCAGACATCCCCACACCGCCCTCTGGTGGCCAAACCCACAACTCCAGTGTTGCGCCCAGAAGCATGTCCGCCCCCCAGCTCCTTTGGGAGGCCGGAAGGTTCTAAGGTTTTAAAGAACTGAAATCAACCTTTTAGTAAGTGTAACAGCAGCTTGTCCTTCAGGCCTGTCACTCTTGAAAGCCACTAGTCATCCACGAGAATGATACAACTGTTCCCTCTTCTCCAAACGGATTCTAGTATTTGAGGGATTTCATGGAGAATTACATTACCAAATTATAATATTTCTAATTCCGGCCTTGGATTCAAGGGGAAAGGGCATTTTCCTGGCATTGAGAAACGTGATTTCTCGCTGCATAATTTCTAGACTGAAAGCAAGCAGCCCTGGCCATGGCCCCTGCCCCTGTGTCTGAAAGGTGGAGTAAGAGCCCGCCCTGGCCTCCTCCCTGGGCATCAAGTGCCCCATGCCAACCTCCCGGTCACACCAGGGGCTTCGCCAGCTCAGGGGGCCACAAAGGACACACAATGTGCCTGCTGGTGCCACAGCCAGGCCGCTGGGCAGCCTACCTCCTCCGTTCCAGGCCTTGCAAGTCCCCTCCCGAGGACTTCCTGCGTGTGACTTCCTTCTGTTCAACAGCAAATCTGCCACCTGCAAAACCACCTGGTCGATAAAGTCTCGAGGGAGGGAGGCACAGTTCCTCACGCGCTCCACCTTTTCCCGAGGCTGGAATCCGGGCAGCCAGAGTCCCTCAGCCTGGGCCTCCGAGACCTCCAGGTCACACTGAGCCCCAGTGCCCCCGGTTCTGTCGCCATCTGGGTGATCGGAACTGCAGGCAGCGGCCTGGGGTGCAGGACAGAGGGGGCCCCCGCCAGACAGGCCCCGCCTGCTGTGAAGGTACCAAGTCCTCCGCTCATCCACACCTGCTTCCTCGGCAGGCGGGTACGTTCTGGATTTCCCGATGAGGCAGACCTGCATTTGCAAAGAGCAAGTCAGTGTCTCAGCCGGCTCAGGTGCTATGCCAACGTGCTCCTGGACTTCTGCTCTGGAGTACAGATTACATGAAAACTACAGACATCTGATACCAAAAACAATAAGCCTTTTCCCCCCCAGTGCTGGGCTGGAACCCAGGGCCTGGTGTATGAAGCAAGCACTCTCTGCTGCTGAGCTACACCTGTAGCCCTGAGGTAGCGAGCGGCAGAGGTACACGGCCGGGCTCATCACACAGAGCCTCACAGCTCCCCCGGGAGGCGTCCAAGCTAGGAGTTCACATGGCTGAGCTCAGTGCTGCTCACTGCCCTGAACATGGCCCTGGCGCCCACCTCCCTGGGCCGCACACCGCCCCGGGGCAGCAGACACAAGGAGGCCTAGAGGGGCCCGCAGGGCTGAGAGAGAACAGGCTCTGCAAGGCCCTGCCAAAGTGAGGACCCAGGCGCCAGGTGTGTCCATGCGTGTGAACCACCCTCCTGTGTCCCCAGTGGCGGTGCCGGGGGGCCTCCTTCTGCACCTCATGTGGGCATCAGCCACAGAGCCAGGGAGCAGGTGATCAAACAAAGCTGACTGGCATCAGAGCCCCTGGGACTCAATCTGCCAGCCACTCTGCCTGATCTCAGGAGCAGAGCAGCACCTTGGCTCTATTGCCAACGCCACCCGCACCCGCACCCGCACCCGCACCCGCTTGGTGGAAGGGATCCGAAGGCAGTCTTCCTCCATGTGGAAGCCGCAGGCCTCTCCCACCTCCCGGATGAAGTCCAGGTACTCGCGGTACTGGGTCTTCCTGCTCTGCCTGCGGCAGAACCTGCCAGCAAAGTCAAAGAAGCAACAGGGCAGCACGAAGAACCGGCAGTGGTAGGAAGACCTGGAGAGTCCAAGCAGAGACATGGGCTCGAGCAGGCTCGTCGGGACCAGCAGGAAGCTGCACGGCAAAGGCGCAAGGCAATGCGAGGACTCCCGGTCCTGCTCGGTATGGTTTATTACATGGAGAGCGAACCTCAGCCTCCCCAGCTGAGTCTGCGAGAGCAACGCAGCACGGCGTGTCCTTCAATCCCACGAGTCCAATTATTGACAAAAGATGAATTCCCACCACAGTTATCCTGGTGAACTGTGGTATAAATTTTCTGAAGTAGTCTGAGATTTCAGTTAGGAAACAGCAACTCAGAGGTGGGTGCGGCAAGGGCCAGCCACGTTCCAAAGTGCAACAGGTGGGATTTACCCTAAACTTAGCCCATGTATATACACATACCCCCCAATGAAACGCCGTCTCAGCAGCCTGAGCTCACCCTGCTCCCAGGGCTCAATGACCCAGTCGGGGCGCCCGCCCGCCCCAGAGCGTGTGTGAAGGACAAGACACGCCCCTCTCCTCTCACCGGGCCGCAATGACAGGGATCCAGGGTGTGAGCTCGTCGGAGTGGTTCCCGATCAGCCAGTCTGCAGCAGGGAAGAGGGTCTGGGCGCTCGGGGTGATGGCATTTTCCTGAGAGAGAAGCACAAGCCGAGACAAGAGCATGAGCCTCGGGCAGGGCCGCCGGGGCACTGAGAGCAAGGAGGCAGCAGCGTCGGCCCTTGAGGGAGCACACCACGGCCACGGCCCAGGGCCGCCCCGAGAACTCCAGCCAGGCTGACCGCCGTCCAAGATTGGAAATGCGCTGTTTATGTGAACTCGGAAAGGACCTTTAGGAGAGATGGAAGCGTGACCTGTCACCCTGTGGCAGGACACAGAAGGAACACCTGGCCGGGCCTGAAGGTGACTGTGCACACAAGTCCCTCTCAAGTCGTCTGCCTGGCGCTGTCACCTCTGCGCCCCATGCTTTCTGATGCTGCAGAGCGCTGAAAGGGAAAGAGGCCCCGGGGTGCAGAAGGAGTGGAGTGGGAGTGAGGCCCATTTTCTCACTACCACGGCCTCCTGCAGACACGCCGCAGGCGGAGATTCTACACCTGTTCTGGTTCTTAAGTAAACGACATGGCATGGTCCTCTATGTAGACGTTAAAAACAGAACACAGTACTGTTTGACCAGTTAAGTACATAACAATCTACGGCTGGAAAAATAAACCGATTCCCATTCATTCTTGATTGAAATGCGCCCATGTGTCTTTCTGTTGCTTCAATTAATCCAGACATAACTTACACTCAAGTAACTGCCACAGTCACACTGCAGCCATCTGGGCACACATAGGCCCTGGGGACACAGCCATGCCCCTCTCAGAAAGCTTTACCCGGGATGACAAACACAACATTCCTACTCTGCATACAGCTTCGCAAGACTAAGATAATTTGCAGTCATCACAATGCTGCTGTTGTAAACAGCCATTTTTTCTTAACACCTTCTAGCTTACAATCAAATGAGGCTTTTCAAAGAAGAGAGATTTGTGAAAGAAAAGAAGTTCCATGCCACAACTGACCTGCACTGGGGGACCCTTTAGCGGGAAACCCACAGATACCGTGAACTTGCTGACAAGACCACCCTGGTGTGACAATGTCCTTGGGGCAGAAAGCACCACCAAAGCCCCCGTCCTGGACACTGGAGTAAGCCACGCTGGTGCTGAGATGGGGAGCTATGCTACCTGGGGCTCGGGCAGGGCTTCTGCAGGCCAGAGAAGAGCCATGGCACGGGCAGCCAAGCCCACACCAGAACCTCGGGCCGCTCCCAAGGCACCACCCTGGGCCAGCTCTGTCCTCGCCTCATGAGCTAAGCAGCCTCACCAGGTGCATGAGAACCCACCCTGCACACACCGGTAGCCTCCCTGGCACACCTGCTGGGTCACCCGTGCCCTTCACATGGGATTTAATCACTCACTGTGACGCGCGAATGTACAAGCAGTTACAAATCAGAATGCAGCAAAGCGTAATGAAAAATAAATACATAAAGAGATGCAAGGCAGCTACAGCAAGCTTCCCTTCCTTGAATCCTTTTCCTTTTTCGCAATATTAGTCTCTAAATAGTCTCAAAATTTTATTTTCTATTTACAGATGAAATGAAAACACTGGATCTTTTTTTCAAATTCGAGTGTGAGTCAGCGTGGGGCAGGGGTGGAGGAGGAGTCACGGCTGCAACTGGCCGCTGAGGACCCAGCCCATCGGCTCACCAGGATCAGCAAGCCAACACGCTGTCCCCTGCAGCCAGGGACCTGACCGCATCACCCCGCACACTTCAGCTGTGCACAAACCTTTAGAGGCAAGCCTGGCAGCTGTGCCCACAGCGCCACCCAGAGGGAGGGCAGCCGAAACCAATGCTGGAATGTCTGCACAGGCCGCCTGCCAGGGACAGCATGCAACAGATACTCGGCACAGGCTCTGGCCCAGCAGCACCCGGCAGCCCGCACGGAGCACAAATGTGCGCCACAGGCTCACCGACAGCTGTGGGCAGCCTCAAGTTGCCCTAATTTTTTTTTTTTTTTCCTGGTACCGGGGATCGAACTTGGGTCCTTGTGCTTGCGAGGCAGGTGGCGGAACCACTGAGCTAAATCCCTGGCCCTGCCCTGTCTAATTTCCAAGTCCTCAGACCAGCAGGATGTGCATGGTGAGCATGTTGCACTGACTACACAGACAGCCACTCCAACAGGTCCGCACACGGCAATGCCAGTACCTCTAGCTGAGTGTGGGGTCCATACATGTCCCAGATTTTCCTTCTTCGGACATCAATCCCTCTGCCTGGATGCTGAAATAACAATTCAATGCATCACTGAAAAGCAGCAGTACCGAGGGAAAGCTCTGCCACCAGCAGCGGGCAGGAGACCCTGGCATTTGCCGCCGGTACAGCGCAGTCTCAGCTCTGTGGCGACACTCAGTGCTCCGGGAAGGAACCTGAACTGAACCCTGCCAGCAGTCACTGGAGTCTTCAAGGGACCACAGTGGCCTTTGGTCCAGCCAGTGCCCAGGGAGTCTCATGAGAACCAGAGGCAGCACTTCACTCCCCACCTGGGTCAGTTTCCGGGTAACGGGGCTTCCCCTGCGGGCTCTCCCAAGGGGCCCCACTTCTCTCCATGAAGGAAGGAGGGGCGCAGGCACCTCCCAGGCCCCACACCACACTCCTCCGTATGAACCCGCAGAGGCGCATCTCACACCGCTCGAACTCCCACAGCTGTGCACGCTGCTCCTGCTGCCGGCAGCTACAAGGGCCACAGGAGGCGAGGCCACAGGGCGCACTCACCCCTTCATTGCATAGGATGTGGACCAGGAGGCCATTCCCACAGCCCAAGTCCACAAACGACTGTGGGGTGCTCACACCCCTCTCGGCTCGCTCCTCTTCCCACAGGATCTGAGGAAAGAGAAAGGCGGAGCAGAGCAGCAGGTAATTCACTCTGCTCAAGGGTGAGGAGACACAGGTCCCACCAGGGCTGGCAAATGCCTGCCTGGGAGGGTGGAGGGAGGAGCCTTGTCTCAGGGCCTGGGCCTCTGCCTGGAGGGTGCTGGGCCCACCCATCCCCGCTGGTCTGAGGCAATGAAGGGAGCTTTGTTCAACAGGAGTCCAGACTCGGGGCTGCGGTGCAGCTGAACACTAGAACACAGGCCCAGCAGGCGCGGGGCCCCACCTCGAACGCCTCTCCCACCCACCCCCACCAAAAAAAGAGCCCACATTTGCTTGGTTATCTGTGGGCATGGCTTTCTAGATATGATAGCCTCTTCATGCTTTCCCTATATCCTTCAAGTTTTGTATACTTTGATAATCCAAAAACATGCTATTTCTAAACCATCTAAGAGAAATTCAAAATTGAAGGGAAACTGGAAATTATTTAGCCCAAACATTTGATGAATAAAAAAATCAAACCTACAGTACTAAATTAGAGGTCACGGATGAATTTGATGGGCTGGTGAGCAGCTAAGGAAAGGTCTGGGGGCAGAGATGCCGAGGCCCAGAGCGAAGGCTCACGCTCCTCCACTCCTCCACTCCTCCTCAGTCGCTGTTAATTACAGTCCAGCCTGCACTTGGAGTTCAGGGCACAGTCCAAGCTTGATTTACACATAGTACCTAGCAAAGTGAAACCATCACACCCTAACTGACCTGGGCGAACACCCAATGACCAGGCAAGCTATGGAGCTGGTAAATGTCCTTCACTAGTGGCCTCTGCCTGCAGCGGCCCTCACGCACTCCGCGGAAGTTCTTACCAGCAGGTAGGACGCAATAGCCACATCTTCGTAGACAAACTTTTCAGGATCAGTCACCTCTGGCCACACCTGCAAGTTTTTCGAGATCATATGTAAACTGTCATTCAGTTTCCCTACTACTTTACAGACTTAAAGCACCCTAAAAAGCATAACTCCAACTGAACTGATCCCACAATCAAATAAAAATTATAAGCTCCTCCCCAAAGTGCAAATTTACAATTGATTTTTTATGAGATTTACATAAAGACACACAAAATTACCGTGCTACATGTGTGTAACAGGACACGTCAATACACTGTAACCCAAAACAAGATTTTGCAATACAGGCACCTGGACATCAGAGGAAATGCTCGCCTACAGTTTCCCCACACTCGTTTGGATAAAGACAATGAACAAAGAAACGAAGGAGTGAGGAAAGAAACAGGCCAGGGACCAGAGAGCAAGGCTCCAGCCCCCACCCTCCCACACCCACCCTCAGTCTCTTGGGGACCAGCCGGGCCCCTGCGACATGAGCACAAAGCCTAGGCCTGACTAACAGGATGGCCATCGAGGCACCTCACAGGCTGCACTGGCTGAGCAAAGGTGCCTCAGCCTTACTGCTAAAATCACCAATGTGCAGAACAGGCTTGGCAGAGAGGAAAAGCCAAAGACCAAGGTGAAGCATTGAGGCTGATCTCGGGAGGAGCACGTGACAACTCAGACGAACCATTGCTCTGAACCATTTAAAAACCCATAAAAGTGTGTGCACCTTCTCGAAGGTACTGAGTCGACAGTGGGATGGTGGAAGGCCACTGGGCCGGGGGCTGCGGAACAGCAGAGCCCAGCGGTGACAGCTCACCCCATGCACAACGCTCGAGGTGCACCAGCAGTGTTAACGTTCACTGCTTCAAGCCTACGGCTTTTGGGGTGCTCATCACAGCACAGGTGACTAATCAAAGGAGACGCTATCATGAAATCTATCTCCTTTGGAAGTACGGTACACTCTTTTGTACTTTAGCTTTCCAGGGCCAGGGATTTAGCCCATCGGCACAGTGCCTGCCTGTACTTTAGCTTACTGTATGTTTTCTTATAAATCTCTAAATTTATAATAAAGAATTACAGGTAATTAGTAACTAAAATTCAATATTCAATTAAATTAAAACTTCCCCTTTGAGCTATTGAAAAAAATAACGTCCAAGAAAAAAGAAACAGCCCCCCTCCGCACTACATCTGAGGCTGCTCGAGTGCGGCCTGCAGCACCACCACTAAGCAGACGAGTCTGGACTCCTCAGCCTCTGCCATCTGAACACACGGCAGGGCCCGGGACTCACGGTCATGTCACCTCGCTCAGCAGGGCTCCTGGCCGGCACTCACCCTAACCATGTCCCTGTACTTCTCCTTGAGCTCCTGGTACAGCACGCTGTACCTCCCGATGGACACGAGGGAGAGGGTGCTTCTGAGCTCGCGCTTGCTGCTGGCCACGCACCACCGGGCCAGCCTGCCCAGCAGCTCCCCTCCCAGCCAGGTGCATCTGGGGTAGATAGCCCCATCCGACTGCCACTTCTCTGGACAGAAAATCAAAACAGATATGAACCTTTAAAAGCAAGAGAAATATGAGTAAGCAGGGCTGGTTACGATTTTCAGTTTTAAGCTACCTGTTTATTTACCAAAAGAAGAGCAGAAACCATCGATTTATTACAAAATATTTTACCAAAAACCATAAAACGATTTGGGGGCAGTTACAGATGTGTCCTCCACTAGAGAAAAGCACGCTGTACCACAGAGTGAGGCCTCTCCAGCCTGGAAGCACGTGTTTCGTGCCCATGGCTTTGGTCTGCTCGGCTTCCTCTCTGCCCTGGCAGACCCAGATACCCAGGGGCCCTGTCCACCCACGTGCTCAGTAAGGAATGAAAGCCTGCAGCCCACGGAGGGCAGGTGGGACCCACCCAGGTAACAGTGCCCGATGCTAGGCCTACAGCTTGGGCAGCATGCTGAGGAGAAAGCATCAAGTTTGTTGAGCCCAAGAAAAATGGCTACAAGCAAAGAGGCGACACTCAAGGTGGGTCCCAAAGAACACCCAGGACAAGGCTGCTGGAGGAGAGAGGCTGGGACTGGCCCGGGACAAGTGTGAGTGGTCAGTCAATCTGAGGAGAGCTGGGACTTGCAGGCTTTCTGCAGCCAGGGCGCATCGGAGGGACACAATCCAGACCCAGGAGCCTCGGGTGTCAGAACCAGAAGGGGCTGGGAAGGCCCCGCTGCTTCCTTTGCCTGCAGGGCTCTGTGGACAGGGCTTCCCTCTCCTCCCCTGGCCTTGGGGCCCTTTCCCCTCATCCCCAGAGGCCTGCAGGCCTGCTCCCCATTCAGTCAGGCTTCCCATTGCCTGTCACCTTCCCCACCCGCCTGACAGGCGTCAGGCACAGCGCTGCCATTCCTCCCGAGGGTCCCTGGCTCAAAGCCATTTATCTGGGTTTCCTCGCCAGCACCTGGCACGGGCTGGGCACACAGCCCTGCTAAAAAGGAACCATCCGACCTGCCTCACACCCGTGCTCCACTGGAATGCAGGGCATCTGGCCCCCCGGTGTGGCTGGTGCCCAAGTGGATGCAGTGACAGCCGCCTGGCGGGGGTCACACCGGAAATGCCATCCTGAAAGGATGGGGTGGCAGCCAGTCCCCTGGGGTTCATCAAAGAACAGTCAACCTGAGTCCTGAGACAAATTTGCCCAGAGCACCCAGTGCACCCGGCGCTTGCCAGCTGCCTAAGCACACTCCCTCGGGTGTCTCCTTGGAGCTCACTGACAGCTCAGGCATGAGCTCAAGCCAGGCGTGAGCACAGGCGAGCGCACCGAGGATCTCAGGCACCAGGGCAGGTCCTCGACAATTCAGGGTGACTCTCGATGGTTCTCAGGGCCACAGCTCCTAGGGACTATGTACTTCCCCAGGCTATAAGCCTGCAACAGACCTCTTGGAAGCCCAGCCCAGCCCCCCCTCAGAGGCTACGATTACCAGACCCGCTTCACAGGTGAGAAGGCAGATGGCCAAGGAGGCAGAGTGACAGACCAAGGGCGTACCACCAGTGGGAGCGCCCAGGGTGTCCAACGCCAAACCTATGCTCTGCCTTTTCAGCCCTCTGCTCTCTCAGCAGCCAAGTGCAGAGGGCATGACACCCAAGAATGCCCTCGATGGGACTGGCCAGGCATGGCGACACCAAGGAATAGCCTAGAATGGGCTGGCCAGGCATGGCTCTCAGCATCAGTGGGGGAGCAAGGAGCAGACTCACCCTTCCACTGACTCACTCATTTTAAAAGAATGAAGCAGAAATCAACCAAATGCCACATTCTTTGCAGAAGCCCAAACATCACACAGGCTCGAGGTACTGGTTAGAGCACCCTTCCATAAACATTTCTGTCTTTGTCAGCCCTGCTGTCACTGGGACAGAGTCACCTTCAAGGAGGAAAAATTTGTTCTGGCTCACAGCTTCAGGGGTTTCAGTCCACAGCCAGCTCCATTGCTTCTGGCCTGTGGCGAGGCAGAAACATCACAGCAGTAGGGCATGGTGGAGCAGAGCTGCTCACAGGATGGCTGCCAGGAAGGGGTGCGGGGTAGAGCCGGGAGGAAGGGGCTGGGACAAAATATACCCTTCAAAGACACAAGCCCACCGCCCCACTTCCTCCCAACCCATTCAGCTACGAATTCATCCACACATGATTCACTCAATGAAGGTAGATCCAGTGATTTTCCAAAAGCCCACTGGCACCCAATCCTTCAACACAATGAGCCAAATACACAACAGGAAAGGCAGCACCACCCACTCCAGTCAGCCAGGCTGCAACTCACACACAGGACCAGCGCCAGCAAGAACCAGCAGAGACATCAATCAATGAGGACCCACTCTGCTATCGGTGGACCAAAATCACATAGCAGGGAGGCAGCAATCGGCTGTCCAGGTCTTACCATTCTGCTGGGCTGCGACTGAGCTGAATCTGATACACATTGCTCATCTTCACCTCTAAATTCCCCTCATCATCTTCTTCCAGAGGTAAGAAAGTTACAGTTCCATTGGGGACATCTGGAAAAAAAAAAGAAAGACAGACAATGATGACAGATTACAACTGCTTAGCTGGGTGTCTCATCAGAGCAGAGACAACAGTAAGGAGTATATCAGGAGGCTTCCCTCCCTTAGAGACTTCGTGTGCGTGCGTGCGTGCGTGTGTGCGTGTGTGTGTGTGTGTGTGTGTCTGGGGGGGGAGCACAGTGGGAGCTTTGTGCTTATTTACTGCAACAGCCCCCACACACCAGGAGCTAAGGGAAGACTGAGCCGCATCGGCTGGAGAGAACAAGGGCCTCTGCCCTAGCTGAGTGTCGCCGATGACCTTGATCTTCTGACACGGGCAACGTAGAACATCACTCAGTCACGAGAGGCTGGTTTCGGACACTGCACAAGGTTCCAGGCACTCCTAACCCAGGGCCCCGCCTCACACAGAGTCCTCTTGTCTCAGGGTCTCCGGACCCTCCACTCACCTTCTCATCAAAATGCCTGCAGAGCAACTTATCCCTAACATGAATTTATGGCATTACATCAGTTTGTATGGAAACTTAGATTTATGAAGTTCTACCTCCACAATCAATTATGTTTTCTTTTGATATAAAAAACTAGCAATATCAAAGTTAGAGATGAACATATGCCTCAATTCACCAACAAGTATAAGCAATCAAAATCCACCTTCCACAGAAGGCAAAAAGAACAGCAGCTTGTTACAGCAGCAATAGGAAACTCATTCACTGCTGAATGAAGTTTGAGGCATGGAGTGGCTGAAGACTCAAGGCCAGAGATGCTCAAAATAAGTGTCTGAAATTTGACAAACACTGAAAACTAGGACATTTCCAGCCATCCAACCACCAAGCTCTTTCGCATCGGTCTCAGCGTACACTGCTTCCCTTTCATTTGTCTCTTTACCTGCTAAACTCCTATTTATCATTCAGCAACCAGCACATCCTTCACCTTCTCCCTGAGGCCTTCCAGACACCAACCACTCCAATCAGTTATCCCATTTTCTGTCCTGAGGGCATACAGTATATTTCTATATGGCCCTCCCAAAAAACCAATCCAAACCTACAACCTCTCTAGAACACGACAAAAGGAAGTGTCCTACTCGGCACCTTTAGGGCTTTTTCACTGACCTGAGGTTTAATGAATGCTTTTCAATCTAATTGTATTCTCTCACTATCAAATACGTTCTTACCCTGCACGACTATTTCTCTCCTCGGAGCTGTAACCAAGAAATGCGGGCTCGTTTTCGGGATGACAGTTCTGAGGACCAGGTCGAGTTCGTGCGGCGCCTCTGTCTGTGATTCTGCTCCGGAGCGCGTGAGGAATGACAGCATCTCCGGATGACCACAGACGAGACTCTGAGAAAAACGGTCCCAGAGCGAACCCAGATCAGCGGCGGGGTCGTCTTCCTCCCCGCTTCCAGTCCTATGGGGCTGCTCCGCAAGCAGAGGTGCTGCGGCTGCTTCTCTCTGCTCCTTCCCTTGCTGGGGTGGGCCCTGAGTCTCTTCAAGTCTGAGACAAGATGTGTCCTCCTCGGGACCTACTCCCGGCCTGGGACCGGGATGCCCCTCGACAGAACTCCGGCCAGGTCCCGGTCTCTCCTGGGGTCCGCATAAGGCCGCGCCTCGTTCCTGCTCGGGGCCTGCGCTCGGCCAGGTGCCGTGGTCTTCCTCGGGGGAACCCCAGCGGGTCCCCGGGCCCTCTTGAGGTCTGCATAAGGCCGCGCCCCACTCCTGATCCGGGCCCGCGCTCAGCCTGGGGCGGAGGGCCTCGGCCCGGGGCAAAGTGGCACTCTGGCGGGCCTCCAGGCGGGCGCCGCACAGCCGCTTGTTGGCCACCTGCGGCCTCTCCAGCCACACTGCCACCGCCGCCCAGAAACCCCCAGGGAGCAGCGCGTAGGAATCGCACACCGATCTCCGGCCCACTTCCGCCATGATCCACCGGCAGCAAGAACCCAGGCTTCGTCGCGGTTGATGACGCACTTCCGGCGGCACGGTGCCGGTAGGGGCGGTGGGATTGGCCGGAAGCGGAAGTGGCGGCCTTGTGTGGCGTTACCTGCTGGTATCCGTTTTAGCTGTTAGGGCTTTGGGCTGTTTATACTGTTTTTCCCTTTGGGAATCCAGCCAAAGTCGTGGCTGCCCGAAAGTTCTGTGGTTACAGCTGAGTTTTGCAAGCGACTCTGGAGGCGGCATAGTTATGGGCTCATTCACGTCACGCAGGGTGCCTGAAACCCTTCGGCCCCAGTGTGGATTATTGATGGGATTCGGGGCCAAGACTGGGCCTCTTAGAAAAATGCCCCTTTCTTTCTTTCTTTCTTTTTAAATTTTTTTTCTTTTTTGGTACCGGGGATCGAACTCGGGTCCTTGCGCTTGCAGGGCAGGCGGCGAAACCACTGAACTAAATCCCTGGCCCCCTTCCCCTTTCTTTCTGTACCTGCGTTTCGAGTTGCTTTCCTTCTAGGAGAGTTGGGCCAGTAATTCCTTAGTGTGAGCACAACCGAGTTGGAATTTTGTCCTTCCCTGAATGATCTCTGAAAATCAAAGCGAAGTGAAAACTAACTCAAGTCATGTGATTTATCAGAGTGGAGAGCACAGACCATACTGTGGCAGTAAATACAGCAAAAGACGACTGAGTGGCACAGCCTCCCAAACACCTGCTTGCTAGAGTCTGTTGCATCTTTAATCCTCTGGGTTGTTTTTTAAATACAGTCTGTGTTAGATTACTAGGGCTTCTGTGACAGATTACTGCAAAGGGAGACACATTTATTCTCTCACAGTTCTGAGGGCTCTGAGGAAGAGTCTGTCCCTATTCCAAACCCAGCTTTACAGTTACCAGTGATCCTTGGTGCCCCTGCCATGTTTTGACTTCCTTCTGATCTCCATCTCCACGGTCACATCATGATCTCCCTGTACTTCCCGAGTCTCCTTTACTCTTCTAATAAGGATACCACTCATTGGCTATTAGGGCCACCCACATCCAGGATAAACTCATTTTAACTTGATTATGTCTGAAGGAATTGGACCACCACCATCCTAGTCTAAGCAGACGCCACTAATTCCTTCCCCCTGCTATGCTTGTACAGCTGCAGCAGGTGTCTCATGGGTCAGCAAGGCTCAGTAAGCACAGCTACACCCTATAATTCAGATTCATGGTTCAGCCTTGCTCTTGACAAACAGCACACAACTCCTTGTACATCCCCAAGCCACATTCTGGGAAGATAGCCACAACTCCTTTTTACTGAACTCTCCCCCTCAAAAGTCCCATTGTGACTTTCTTTCTACAGCCCCCCTATATGCTCATGACCCTATAAAGACCTTAGAGCCTGTGTAAGAGTTACTGATCTGGTGTCTAGTGCCAGAGTGGTCCTTCTCAGGTTTGTTCTGAAATAAACCTGTACCGATGACCTCATATCCTGCGTCTTTTCCTTTTGTTCTAACATTTGGCACCCACTGTGGGGCACAGGTCAAGGAGACTAACCCCAATATCCCCCACCTCTTCCTTTTGTGAATAGCATCTCAAAGGCCCTATTTGGAAATAAGATCACACATGCCAGATAAGATTAGGACTTCATTTATCTTTCAGGGAACACAATTCAATTTCAACACCTTTCAAAGGGCAATCACTGTTTGGGGCAGTCAATTAACACTCTCTAATGGTTAACATTCCTATGTGGAGAACTGAGCAAGGATTTGACCCAAAATCTTTTGTTTTGTTTCTGTTTTGAATTTTTGAGACAGGGTCTTCTATGTAGCCCAAGCTGCCTGTGAACTTCCAGAGATCCTCCTGCCTCAGCTTCCTGAGTGCTGGGATTATTGGCATGCATCACCATTCCTGGCTCTACAGTTTTAATAATGGAGATGGATACAAAATGTAGGTCTAGCTTTGTTCTGCTTTTAGTTAGCTATTGGGCATTTGTAGGCACAAGTGGAGGTGTTTTGTTGGGTTTTTTTCTTTTACCAAAAGTAGCTCCCAGGTTCCTACTGCCTCAGAAGGGAACAAAAATGTTTTTAATGAGTAACAGGTCAAGAGCTCAGGAGTTCGTCCTCTGTCCCTATGGTGGTCTCCACCTGTGTCACTTGGAGATAACTGAGTTAAAGAGAAATAACTTTTTTTTTTTGGTACCGGGGATCGAACTCAGATCCTTCTGCTTGCAAGGCAGGCGGTGGAACCACTGAGCTAAATCCCCGGCCGAGAAATAACTTTTAAAAAAAGATTTTTAAGGGAGTCCTGACTCCAGGAGACCTGACTGTACAAATAAGAAAAGTACAAACTACTTCCCAGAGTTATAGCAGTGCTTGGGACAAGCATAAATCACTCTCCTGTCCGCAAAGGTTGTCACCCATCTACACATATTTGTTGGTCCTAATGAGAGTCAAAGGCAAGGTTTTCATTGAGAACTTAGGAGCCACCAGCAAGCCTTCATTAATTTGAATGTGGGGTTGGGTTGGACTTTCATGCTCATTTCACTGGATCTCAGGATGCAAAGCACTTTTGCTTCTGCATTCAGCTGGGTGTGGAACAGCCTTTATCAAACAGCAGGGAGGCAAGTGTGCACCACGACTTCTCCACACTCAACAAAATCCTGCTTCAGTTAAATGTGGGCTCAAGCCCTCAAAACCCTCCTGTTTGCTGAGCTCTGTGATCTCATGGTCATGGATCCTTCTTGGCCCTAAGGCTTTATTGTGTCCTGGAACCGGCTAATTTACACCCAGCTTCTCTGCTGCTTGTCACATTGGCATAGCAAGAGAGAGGGAGAGACCAACCCCAAAGAATCATGCAGGTTCAGGGCTTTGGAGTGCAGAGTCATAAATCCAGGAGCCTGTGTTTGGGGGAAAACAGAAATGTCCAGTTTGGTGTAGGCTTTTTTTCTATTTTTTGAGACAAGGTCTTGCTGTGTAGCCCAGACTGGCCCCAAACTCACAGCAATCCTCCTGCCTCAGCCTCCCAAGTGCTGAGATTACAGGCGTGTGACACCATACCCTGGTGTGGGCTTATACAGTTGCATACGGACATGTTGGTCCCCTTCTGGAAACCACCCCAACTAATGAGTCCACTTGACCTGTTCACTGATTTCCACCTCCAGCACCCACAGGGTTTGGTTCCTGGCTGCCTTTCCAACTCATTTCCCAACCCTGTACCCCATCTGTGAATGGTCTTCCTGTTCTTCAGACGGCCAAGCTCACTGCTACCCCGAGGCTGCCTTCTGTGTTCCTTTCCTTGGAATGCACACTCTGGGGTCTTCTCTCCATTCAGGAAGCATGGGAAATGTCCCCTCTTCATATGGGGCTTCCCTGCCACCAACCAAACAGCCCTCAGCCACTTTGTGTGTGGCTGCCATTTGGTTTTCTCATAATTACAATGTGTTGCTTGTCTCTGGTCCCCTGGATGCAGAGGATCATAATACTGATCATGCCCAAAGCAAGCTGTGAAGAGCTAAACCCACAATTGACTTGTTTATAGAAGTGAGTCCGGCCGAAGCCTACGTGCTGAGGTCAGAGTAACTTGCACCCAAATTCCGTTCCCACAATTAAAACCTTCAGACTAGAAGGACAATGTTCTAATTACAATCATATATTTTGTCTATTCTGTTCCTAATTTGAGAAGGCTTTGTCTTGTCCTTTCTGAGTCTTGTTTACATTAATTTCCATAGAAACTGCACATAACTCACCTTTACCCCAATTGATTCCCAATAAAAGTCAGCACCTGGGACTGGCCAGCGCCTTTGTCAGTTGCACCCGCATTGGTCTCCTGGCCCCCACTTTTTCTCTTAGTTCTGTCTCTTACTGTGTTTTTTTCTCAGGCCTGTGTCACACACTGGGCAGGTGGGGACTAGAGACTTACTCCAGGAGTCTTCAGACTCCCTGGAGAAAGGATTCCATTAGGTTGGGGACCCAGACTAGCACATCCTCACTGCCCGACCATATTTTTTAGTGCTGCAGGAGGGCTGTGTAGAGGGCAGAGGGGCCTGGAATCTCTCTTGGAGTGAAGTAGCCTCCAGCCAGAGGCTGCTGGGCTGGACAGGAAACCAGCAAGATCCAGGCTTAGGCCAAGGCTCTGATGTAGTCCCAGGGAGCAGTCTTGTAGGGTGAGAAAAACTTGCCCTCTCCCCCCTGGGTTTCCATCACTGAGTCTGAAATGAATGGACAGTCAGCTGATTAATGGGAGAAAATCCACATTTAATTACTGATGTTCCTGCAGTTGGAGACGGTTCAGAAGATGGAAGGTTATATAGTGTCCTGAGCTACGGAAAGACCGGGGCTCGGGGCCAGGGGTGGGGCACAGCAAGTGATGGGAGGGTGAAGGGAGCATGGTGCGGTGACCAGAGGCTGCCCTCCCATGCTGCAGCGGCCAGGGTGGTCTGGAGCCCCTTCCTGACACGGCCCCTTCACTCACATCAAGTTTCTTTTGCAGATGTCAGTTTCTTTTACAAGCACAGCTCTGCAGAGCTGCTTCTGCATCTACTCTGAGACTAACTGGCCCAAGGTATGCTGCCTTTGTACACCTTGGAGCAGCACATTCTGGTCTCCTGCAGGAAGATTTTGGGGTCTCTAGGTAGCACCATCCAGTAGGACTTGCTGGGAGGCTGGAAATGTTCTCTGTCTGCATAGTCTAAGAAGCTAGCCGCACATGGTTACTCTTGGCAGTGAAGCTAGTGCCGCTGGGAGCTGATCAAATTAAATGCACAGGGATTTTCATTTATTTAACAAAGGCACATTTGAATTTAAGCAGCCACATGACACTGGTGGTGGCAGGGGTGTTAGACTTGGCTGGGGAGAAACTCAGTCAGGGTCCCCCGAGTCCCTCCACACTGGCTTCTCAGTGTCTAAGTGCTGGAGGCTGAGGGCAGGGCGGAGTCTCCACCAGGAGCCCCAGTGCTCTTTGGGTCCTGAGTACCAGCCCATCGTGCTGATCAGAAGCCAGCTGCAGCCAGAACTCTCACCCGCCACCGAGACCCCTTCAGCATGTGCGGCAGCACGGTCACTCCT